CCAAAGTCATGTAACATCAATGCAATCAGAGGAATTATTAATTAAGGTGTAGGGTTTATAACATAATCATATTACTCCCTGACCTTCTAAGAAAGCAATTAACTAGCTCATATAGTTTTTCAAGACTGATACTACATACCTTGCTATAATTACAACAAAAACTGTTTGGTTCCATGGTAGACAACAGGGGAAAAGAATAGGTTTTAGGATAGATACAGCATGTTCCCTAATATGAAAACAATAAAAAAATATTTAGTACTAGATGTACAAACTCTAAGAATATACAAAATATCCTGAAAATCTGAGCCTGTTCCACTCACACCCTAAGCCGTATCCATAGTGTTCCAGAATAAGACATCAGTTATTTTTGCCCTGAAACAACTTCCCGTCGATCGATCATATCCTGTTTGGCTAAGTCTCGGCCACAATGGAAAACAAAAGCCAGGGCAACAGGATGAGTGAGACAGAAAGACAAGCTCACCAGCAAGAGGAGCCTGCCATTCAATTACACCTCAGCTACCTTCTGCTTTGCCCTATTGTTCTAAACCATTCTCTGCAATCTTACTTCACTGGAGCCCAGCCTCTCACCAGATCCTTTCTAGCAGTTTCCTTTCCTGACCTCTTTACCTCTTCACCCCCTGACTAAACTACTGCTGTGAACAGCTGTGTACCTCCTGTTTCCTCCCACCCCACTCCATATATACTTCAGTCTGATTCTGTAACCATGGAACCCATTCCTCCCCAAAACAGGATGCCCATCCACTAGTTAGTTCCTATGCTCTCTCAGCAGGTACAAATGATCCACATCCCAGACACACTAGCAGGTGATAAGCAGCCAGCCCCTTGACTATGACCAGGGATGGTCATGAGTCTCAAATTAGAGCCTCCTCCCTCACACTGCACATCACTGAGTAGGTCATTTAAAAAGTCACTGGTGGGGTTGGATTAATGGCTCAGAGGTTAAGAGCACCAGCTGCTCTTATAGAGGATCTGGATTCAGTTCTCAGCACCCACATGGTGGCTAACAACTGTGTGTAATTCCAGTTCCAGGGGATCTAACACCCTCTTCTGACCTCTAAGGGCACTGCATGACATGAGTGCACTTACATACATGCAGACAAAACACACATACACATAAAATTAATTATTTTTTTAGAGGCACAGGTAACAGATGCCCACGTCCAATAATCTTGAGAGTGGCACACTGGGTGAATGACCATACAACTTAATTTACTTCTTTCTCTTTCTCTTTGTAAAATTGCCTTCACTTTTCGTTTTCATTTTTTTTCTTCAAAACAGAATCTTACACAGTCCAGGCTGGCCTTGAACTCACTATGTAGCCAAGAACAACCTTGAACTTCTGAGCTTCTTTCTCCCACCTCCCAGCATGTTGGGATTGCAGGTGTGCATGGACACTGTGATCTTATGCAGTGTTGAGAGATCATTCAAGCATGTGAGGCAAGTATTCTATCAATTGAGCTACATTCCCAGTCATCTTTCTATCTTCTTCAATAAAAACATGTTTTAAAACATCTGAGAATGGGAGCTGGAGAGATGGCTCAGCAGTTAACAGTGCTGGCTACTCTTGCAGAGGACCCAGGTTAGGTTCCCAGCACCCACATGGCAGCTAACAACTGTCCGTAACTCCAGTCCCAGGGGATCCGACAGCCTCTTCTGTCCCCACGGGCACTGCACGACATGGGTGTACTTACCTACATGCAGGCAATACACACATACACATAAAATAAAAATAATAAATAAAAAAATTTAAAAAAGAAAACAAGCTGGGGAAAAACATGATAAAATACTCTCCTATTCTACTACATTTGTCAGGCTTTGACCGTGACCAAAAAATAAATCCATTTTATAGCACACATACAAACACTACATATACATGCAATTATCCATATATACTCAGTTCTATTTCATTTAACTTTTTAAATGTGAGTCACACAATGTTAAGGTAAACAGACCTGATTCAAAAAGTACAAACTACAGGATGCCAGGAAAATCAACAGTTAAAACTAATCTACTGAGATGGAACTATGAAACAATACAGCTAGGAGGGGGATACAAGACAGTCTGCTGGGATGATATAATGTTTTCTGTAGGCCTGGAGAGAAGGCTCAGCAGTTAAGAGCACTGGCTGCTCTTGCAGAGGAACTGGGTATGGTTCCTAGCACCCACATGGCGGTTAACAACCATCCATGACTCCAATACCAGGAGCTCCAACATCCTCTTCTGATCTTTCTGACCTCCATGGGCGTTGCATGGCATGGGTGCACTTACATACATGCAGACAATACACTCAAAAAGTACAAACTACAGGATGCCAGGAAAATCTAGAACAGTTAAAAGTAACGTACAGAGATGGAACTATGAAACAATACAGACAGGAAGGGGATACAAGACAGTCTCCTGGGACTGTCTTGTACACATAAAATAAAAACAACAAATGATAAATAATAAAATAAATGCTCTCTGTATTGAACTGGCTGTGGAGGTTAAAAGAGCATGCAAATGTGTACTATATCACGCCAGGCACTCCACATTTGAGCATTACACTTTATGTAAATTACACAGAAATTAAAGTAAAAAAAAAAGTTAAGAAATAAGGGTTGAATCTAACAGAATTGATTTCATTAGCTAAAAATTACTTTAGCTAATTTGTTGTAAACCAGTTTGAAAATAGTTCTGAATATGTTAAGCAAAAAATTAACAACTCTAGTGTTTGCATATAAGCGCATGTATACATAAATGCATGTGTCCCTGGGTCCCTAGAATCATGTGATGCTGGATTACGTTGGCCACTTAGTGGGAGGAGAAAAGAACAAATCTCCTGTATATCTTCATAGGAAAAAAAATCAGATTCTTCTTGTTGTTTGTGTGTGTGTTGTTTTTTCTAAATAGGGTGCTGCTATGAACCCAAGCTAATACTAAACTTGCATTCTTCCTGTCTCAGCCTCTCCAGCAGTAAGATTACAGGTCTATGTCACCATATCTGACTTAAAGATACAGATTTTTAACATCACCATATCTGACTTAAAGATACAGATTTTTAACAATCAATATTGGGCTCAAATAATCTGAGTTTTGTCTTAGGAATCCACCCTTTCTAATTTCCAGATTGTATTACATGCTATGTCCTTCAACAAATCAAAATTTGAACAGGTTCACATGTTTTGCTTTGAAAACTACTGAACCCCTAACATCCAGAAACAAAGTAGCAACTATTGCTGTAAATGATGCCAAGGCATTCCTAGCAAGATGGAGTGTAGTTCAGTGGTAGAGCACTTGCCTACCATGTGTGAGGCCCTGGGTTGGAGCCTCAGCAACACACACACACACACACACACACACACACACACACACACCCACACACACACGTTTAAAAAAAAAAAAAAAGAAAAAGAAAAAGAAAAGGAAAAAAAATCCTAGCATGAAAATAAACACAGGCACCAGAAGCCAAAATCCTCCATCCAGGAGGAGCAGGCTACAGTGGTGACTCTAAAGTTAGCTTTAATAGGCAGGTGCTAAAAAGATTCTGTGGAAACAGTCAAGTCCTAAAGAAAAACAATACTCTAGCCAGGAAAGGATATTTAGATTTAGATTTGAGAACAGCTATGTTGCCTAGAAATAAAGGTCAATACTAAATGCTAGTCTATTTACAATCCTATATAGACAACCATGTTTCTATTATAGTCTTTTACATGTGGGTATGTAGGGTAGCTATTTTACTGTATTATTAAAAAAAAAAAAACCAGAAAGGCAACACATCAAGAATATAAAGAGGTGGAGAAGACAAATACTTTGCTCTCATTTAAAAGAATCACTCATAGATACACACCAGGAGACCAGTACAAGGATATTCATTGTGGCATTGTTCATAGTAGAAAAAAAATGGAAATGATAGAACAGTTTAAATGTTTATACAGTACAACAAAGGAGACGAACCAGATCTGTATACCAGTGAGGAGGGGTCTCAGAAATAAGGCTAAATATAACATTTTTAAACACAACTATAAAATAGACAGTATATTAATGCTGGTTTAACACTTTTAACCTACAAAAGCACTACCACATACATCTTTATGATAAATATATTTGTAAAGATGTAAAATAAAATGGAAGTGAAACTTGTAACAGTGGTTGCCTCTGGCTGGGGCTAGGAAAAGACAATACAGTGTTTAAAAAGAACTTCAACTGTAAGTGATATTTTACTCTTAAAAATACATATACTATGCCGGGCGTGGTGGCGCACGCCTTTAATCCCAGCACTTGGGAGGCAGAGGCAGGCGGACCTCTGTGAGTTCAAGGCCAGCCTGGTCTACATACTGAGTTCTAGGACAGCTGGGGCTACAGGGAGACCCTGTCTCAAAAAGACAAAAAAACATATGTTAACAAGACAATATGGTAACAGATGCAGTTCTGGGTGGTGGCAATGTGGTCATTTTTGTTTTCCTTTGTGCTTTTCAGTAACTTTGGGATTTCTCAAATTATAAAATGCATGTTATAGCCTGTTACTTTTCTTTTGTTGATTGAGGGTGACTAGGAACATGTTCTATAACTTAAGCAGCTCCCCTTCACTTCATGGCAAGATGCCCCACTCATCCTCTTCAGAACTGTGACTGTTACTGTGAACAAGACAGAGTACCCAATGAACATAATCTAAATAAAAGTACCCTGAGTAAGAGCCGGTACCAGGTACTGTGTATGTCTGTGTTTTGATTATTTCTTCAGAATCTGCAGTGCATTATGAAATATTATGGGGGGGAACATTTAAAGAACAATAAAAACATACTTTGTAAGGTGGTTTTTGGAAAACAAACTAAAGTCTCAAGCAAACTCATTCCCCAACCACTTACATTCATGTCAGAAATTAGACAGTGATGATCATACCATGGTTACGATTTTAAGAGATTCCATTTTAGATAAACTCACAGAATGAGAAACACTTCAATACCATTCAATGAAGAGGAGAAAATTAAAGATGTTCTTACCTTGGCCAGTTCAGGCAGGTAGCTATCTAAACCGGAACCAGAACCTTCCAATTTGCTTTGTTCATCATCTAAGTGGCAAAACAGATGAACTGAGTCATGTGTAGCTAAAAGTATCTTATTTAAAACAAGCAAAGAACCTGAATACAGTGGTTCTCAACGATGAATGCACATTCCAAACACCTCAGGGTTTGAACGCTGATGACAAAGGCCCAGGGGTTAAAATCATGGAAGAGTTTCCTATGGCAGAGTCCTGTCAGCTAGAACCAAAGCTATGTGCAAAAGCCCTCAAGGGGACATCCAATCAGAATCTGTGGTGGAACCAAGGAAATAGTAGTTTGGGTTTTGTTTTTGTTCCAAACTCCCAGGTACTTTAGGGGGCAGCCAGGGTTAGGAATCACTTTAGGACTTGAAATATAACATGAATTATGTGTCAAAAACACAGATTTTTTTTCCACTTAAGACTTAAACTGTGACTCTTGCCCAACCTTTGTCTTGAAATGTAAAGGATATTACTAATGACAATAGTTTTTACACTTTTAAGTATGGATTCCATGCCAGTGGCTTGAGCTACATTTTTAAGCGTTCTCATTCCATCGGTACTTTTCTATTTAAGCCCCCCATCCCTGAACCAACACACCTTTTAAAAAATTATTTTATGGGGCTGGAGAGATGGCTCAGCGGTTAAGAGCACTGACTGCTCTTGCAGAGAAGCCGGGTTTGATTCCCAGCACCCACATGGCAGCTACAAACCATCCTTAACTCCAGTTCCAGAGGAATCCGAAGCCCTCTTCTGACCTCGGCAGCATTGCACAACACGGGTGCACTCACATACATACATGCAGGCAATACACTCATACACATAAAATAATAATAAATTTATTATTTTTATTTTATGTGTATGAGTGCTGGATGGCGTTGTCAACCTGACACACTTGGGTTGAGGGAGCCTCAATTGGGGAATTGCTTCCATTGGAGTGACCTGTGGCCATATCTGTGGGGCATTTTCTTGTTTGTTCATTGATGTGGGAGGGCCAGGGCCCAGCCCACTGTGGGCAGTGCCACCCCTGGGCAAGTAGTTCTGTATTGTATAAGAAAGCAGGTTGACTGGGGCCAGGGGAGCAAGCCTGTAAGCAGCATTCCTCCTGGCCTGTGTTTCAGCTCCTACCTCCAGGTTCCTGCCCTGAGTTCCTACCTTGGGCTCCCTCAGTGCTCAACTGTGATCCGGGAGATGGAAGCCAAATAAACCCTTTCCTCTCCAAGTTGGTATTGGATAGAGTGTTTTGTCGCAGCAATCATAAGCAAACTAGAATGAGTGTATTGACTGCATGTATGTAAGTGCACCCATGTTGTACAATGCCTGCCCTCAGAAGAGGGCATCAGAACCCTTGGAACTGGAGCTGTCATGTGGGTCCTGGGAACTAAACCTGGGTACTCTACAAAAACAGCAGTGCTCTTAACACCTTTTTAAAAAAGACAGTGTCTCTTATAGCCCAGGCTTGCCTGAAAGTCACTGTGTAGCCAACAATGATCTTGAACTTCTGATCCTCCTGCCTCCATCTGCTAAATGCTAGGTGTGCACCACCACACATGGTTTATGCAGTGCTAAGGAACCCAAAGCTTCATGCATGCTAGGCAAGCACTCTACCAACTAAGCTACATCCCAGCCCTTATTTCTCTTTTCAGGTAAGTTAAGCCAGGGCCCAGAAAACACAACTAGTTTGTTGACATCCAGCTGAAAAGTGGTACTGTTGGACCTCAATTCCATGTCTTCCTTTTCCTCTTCATGTCTATGGCTGTTCCTCTCACACACTCTCCACATAAACAAGGTCAGGGTAGCAAATTTGTTTGTTTTGCCTTTTGAGACAGGCTCTCAGTAGCTGGTTTGGAACTCCCTAGGTAGTTGACCACTCTACCCTCAAACTCATTTAGGATCCTCTTGCCTTGCTTCCCAAGTACTAGGATTAGAGGTGTGCACCTCCAGGTCTGGCCTCAGGGCAGTAAATCCTAAAGTGAGAAGATCTTTGTTGACAGACTATCTGTGAAAGGCCCCCATATTTCCCATTTCTCATGGACCTGTACAGTAGTTCTTCTTCCCACATTCTCCTGGGAAAAACATTCACCCAGTGTGCAGGCTGGAGAAAGCCAAAATGGCTGCCCAATGTGTGTACCAGGGAAAACAAAGATGGCTGCCCGGAAAGCTGGACGTACCTTCATGAGAGTCCCCATTTCGTTTTTCTTGCATTGCAGCTTCAAAGTTTAGCTGGAGAATCTTGTTGAGAAGAGTGATCCACTCTTCCATTTCCACTTCACTGTCTGCTGCCAATAGATAACTACTTTTGTCTTGCATCTTGAGCTCAAAAGCAAAACGTCTGACCTTGTTGTTCTGAAACAAAAAAAGGAAAAAGAGACATATCAGGAACTGTTTCATGATGGTTTGCCTTATTTGTTGATGTGAGCTGTCTTGTTGGCTTCCCAGGCGCTGCTACCGGACCCTTCATCAAGGTCCACCTTATCTGCTTTACTTTCCCATCTGACTCATTACCTTTCATATATATATAT